GGCATTTTCTACTTGCGAAAGGCAGCTGCATCTAAAACATCAATCGACTTGGAGATTCTTCAAGATGTTTGCCTCGTTAATACTAATACTAGATTAACTAAATTTCGATCTTGACATAAAGCAAGCTCAATTAGAAGAATTGGATTTTCACTAATATTGCAGAGCAGATGAATTCAAACTTTCACCAATTCCGACCTACCTTTATTTACAGGATATTTGAAGGAGAGAATGTAAGTTTTATGAAATTCTCTCTAGCTTGAAGAATTTGTTAGTTTCTCCCTATAAAAATAGTTAAGCAAAAAGGGGTGCTTTTGCTAGCCAATAGCTTCAATCTATTGCGAACTATTGCGGAGAAGATCTCCTTGTCTCACGATAAGGCTATGAAGATAAATTAAGTCTTCTTACTAGCCAATAGCTTCAATCTGCAGTTCTCATTCTTGATATAAAGCAGGTTAGGCTAGAAAAGCATGATAGCTCTTTGTGTTAAGCCTAACTACAACTACTTTATACAAAACAAACTCCACCACTTTCAGGTAAACTAGTTTCACACTGAAAGATTGGATATGGAACTCATTCATAATTAAGCAAATTTATCAGTCAAAATACTAAATCTGGGAGATAATTGACTGTGAAACCTTTCCTACAGGAGTATCTCAGTATGGAAAGGTGTTAGCTACCTCACCACACAAATTGAAACCTCTATATATGAATACACATACATACAATGCGTGTGTGTATATACATATATAATAATTTAGAAAACGGAAAAGCTTGTTTAAACTTTAGCCATATATAATAATTTAGAAAACGGAAAAGCTTGTTTAAACTTTAGCCATATATAATAATTTAGAAAACGGAAAAGCTTGTTTAAACTTTAGCCAGATCATTGTATTAATCTTACCTCGTCAAAACTTTCCAGCTCACTACACCAGTTTCCCGTTCCTCCTGCTTAATAAGAACAGATTTTCCTCCTTTCTTACTATCTTTTCCAACTTTCTTAGATACCCCATTGGTCTCACCATTAGCAACAGGTTTTGAAGATTTGTCATTGTCATTGTCATTGTCATTGTCATTGTCATTGTTTTCCTTTTCTTCTGTATACTCTTCCATTTTCCCCGCATTTTCCATCAGCTTCTGAAATAGTACCCCATTATTTGAGAGATATTCAAAGGTTCCTTCCTCTTTAACCATACCATCATGCACCAGTATGATTCTGTCTACTTGTGACAGGAAGTGTAGCTGGTTTGTGACTAAAACTCTGGTCTTTCCTTTCAGTTCTCCCTTGATGCACCTTTCAAAAACCTGGTAATAATACATTACAACGAATGTTATACAAAAATTTTATTTTCCACAAAATTATGCGAGTCAGAACATTTCGGTAACATATTGCATCATGAAAATGTAACAAAACCAACAAGTGAAAGAAGCTTGCGCTGGATGGAACTAAAAAGACACATTTCATCAAAGTAAAATGTTTACCTGGCGGCCTACATCAGCATCCAAAGCACTTAATGGGTCGTCAAATATGCAAACATCTGAACTGGAATAAACAGCCCGAGCCATGGATACTCGTTGCTTCTGCCCTCCACTAATATTCACACCCCGTTCACCAATTTCAGTGAGATCACCACCCTAGAACAAAGGCAATTAAAAATTGAGCTACACTTTAAAGAAAGATCATAAAGCAGAATAAACTGTCTAAAATATATTGATTAGACAACTTTTGCAGCTATGCTTACCGGAAGCAATTCAAGGTCATGCCGTAATGCGGTCACATCGATGGCCCTATCATACCTTGCAGCATCAAATGCAGAACCAAACAGTATATTTTCACGTACCTGTAGAACATAATTATGCACTTCCAAGTCATCCATGATACCAAATATCTTTAATCAAAGGCAGCCACATGATCAACCTCAATGCTTATGTATGTAACGAATAAACATGGTTACTTACTGTTGCATTAAAAATCCATGAAACTTGCGGTACATAAGCAACTGTTCCCCTTATGACAACCATTGAATCCGAAACGGAAGGAACCTCTCCAAGCATTGCTGAGATTAGCGATGTCTTTCCTTCTCCAGTGCCCCCTACAACAGCTACTAAACTACCAATTGGGATATCCAAGTTGATATTTGACAATGTTGGTTTCTCTACCTGCACATCAAGATAAAAGCTGAGTTTCCCAGCTCCTGTATGCCTTGAAAAGAATTGACAAGCCCATTAATTTCCAAAATTAGCAACTGCATAGAAGATTAAACAGGAACAAGGTATTTAAGAGCCGCCTTCTTTATTAAAAGTGTATCTGTTTTTCTTTATTTGATTATTTTTTCTTTTTTCTTCATAAATAGAAACTTCTACACTTTTTGATTGATAAAGATAGAAGCAGAAGAGAACTCCAGAAGAAATCCTAAAAGGAACTTAGCAACTCAATCCAATAAGCTGCTCAACACTTTTGTAGGTCAGGACAGCTGGAGATTGTGTTCTAAACCATACACTCCATAGCAAGTTATACAAAATAAATCAGCACTTCAATGGCTGTGGAAGATTATAGAATGTTTTTTCAAGCCAAAAGTACACTTAGAGCACTTCCAAGGGATCATGATAGTTATTCCCAGAACCAAAATATTACAAGAACTGATTCCTCAGAGCTGCTGCAAATATGTATTGTTCCTCGATTTAGGAATATTCTCCACCATACATCTCTTGCAAAGAGGCATTTTTGGATCAGCTGGGAGTAAGTGACATTGTTCTGTCTACACACACTACATCAATCAAGTGACAAATGAACCCAAAAGAAATGCTCTAGATACAAAAGAGAGACCAGCTAAAAAGATTTATAAATTAATAAACCAAGTAGTCCAAAGTCCAACCTAATAACCAGATGATGACAAATAGAAGCTCGAAAAAGAACCAACAAAAATGCAAGTTCTTCAGCTTCTATGTCTTTCAGATTCCTCAAAAATGAAAATACTCTTAACATAGAAATTCCTTCAGACATAAGTTGAAGTAGGAGCATGACAACCTTCTGAGAAACGATATAGACATAAGAGAAGAATTGAAAGATGACTATGGTGGATTCAGAGATTTTCCAAGAACCTAGCAGAGGTACCATTAGCTGCCAACACAACCCCTCATACTAGGCTAAAATATTTCTAAGCCTGTCGGCGCAAATTATTCATTCCACTAGCCGCATCCTAGTTTGTCAAATAATTATGCAACAAATTGTACATAAATCGTACAGTTACATAATTCAAATTTCCTATGCTTAGCAGATGTGAGATAAGACCACACTAAACTGGGGCCATCCAAATATCCTGCACCCAACTAATGTGGTAAAATATAGCATCACTGTCCTTTCTCTTAGGAAACTATGGTTTAATCACAAAGCAACAAGCTATCTGCTCAAGCATACTCCATTTGCATCACTACCCAAGCATACCAGATCCCTTTCAAGGGACTACAGTACCAAGTTTTAGACCACAGATTACTTTCACAGTTATTTGTGCCCCAAATAATGACAGAAACCAAATTCATCATTAATATGTAACGTGCTACCAAGTAATCAAAATTGTGGCAGTAAAAAGTTGAGGTCCGAGTACACTTTTAAAGAGAAGAAAGAATTAAACTACCTGGAGAAGAATCTTTCTGGAAAGCAATAATAAATATGCAAGATATATAAGGTTTCCTGAAAAGGATGGGATTTCTCATTTATGAACAGATTCTTTAACGAGTGAAATGAAACAAGAAAAAAGGAAAAGAGGGAGGTTTACCTATTAATGACAAATGCATATCTACATAAACTTTAACTGTTCTTTTTTCCCTTCTGATAAGTATATGTTATGCCTTTACCCACTTCTGTTTATATAAAAACGTAAGAGGAGGCTAAAGGCTACCGCATTTATGTTTGCATGGCTAAGTGTACTTATTCTGGCAAAAGAAGATATCGACTAATGTGCAAACCTTTGATTCCCATGAAAAGCATCCATTCTTGATTGAAATGGCTGGAAGTCCAGGCTCAAGAGGTGGATTGGGTAGAAGTATTCTTTCTTCTGCTAAGAGAAGCTCTTCTAGACGTTTCAACGATACGTTTGCGTTAACAACCTGCAACAGCAGAAAATAGGTGCAACCATGTAAGTTAAGCAAAACAGCAGAATGAAAGAAGATCCCATAGATAGATTATGTTCTCTTGCTCACATAGAAATTTTAAAAAAAAAAAGGAGGAAAAGGGAAAAAAGATGCTAGTCTCTTTTTTCTCAAAATGCATGGAATGTTTTACTTTAACGGTAAAACTCCGGACCTGAGACTTAATGACGTGCTTATAACTTTTTCCTTTTTGAGGTACAAAGTGCATACCATATATTATCCACCACAATGCTTCTTGAGTAAAATAGAAAATAATTGACATTGTCAAAAAATTAAAATCAAGAAATTTTACAGAATAAAAAGTTAAAAGTCAAGAAATAGGAGGTGGCATATTTAACAAGCCAACTTTGGGTGATAAGGAAGAATAAATATAGACAAATTGGCCATTCTAGCGAGTTTTCAAAATGACATATTTGTTGCATCTGGGGGATGCTGATGTGATTAAAAATAATCACTTTAACTGGAGAAATATATTACTTTAGAAAGTAATTTTCTCACATGATAACCAGATTAACAACATTGATTTAATCAGAAACGAAATAATAATCAAAGAGAACAGGCCCTAAGATTCTGCTTAGGATGTGCTAATATTGAAATGCTGAATCCACCTGTCCAGAAACTGAATGTCACATGCTCCGGCAATGAAATAGACTTAAGGATATTGTGACAGTTATACAAGAATGAACACACTTAAATGTTATTCACCTCACCACAAAATTTTAGTATCTGATAATGTCATCACTGCTGACTAATTCTAGCTATTACCTTCAACTCAGATGGTTAGAAATGATAATGAATTTGTTTCCTTTTCCTCATTTTCTTTATTTTTCCTGGGGAGAGTGGTTAGGTGAGACATTTGACTGTCAAGTGTCAATTAGAAAATGAAACAATACTCAAGCAAGACTAATGAACTTCCGAGGAAGTAATCTTTCTTCTCTCTAACAGCCTAGAATAAATGCTACAACACCGATTCTTCAAAGACAGATATCAGCAAATTGAGGGTTCTTCAACAATTGAAATAGGCAGTAAAGCTATTTATTATCAGCATATGAGATTGTGAAGAAACATTTGAAACCTGTGTTATTATATTAGGAAGCATGAAAAGCGGAAAACGCAACACCGCGAACAAGGATAAAGATGTAAATGCCCTTGCTGGTGTTAGATCTCCTCCAAGTAACGAGAATACCCCAAATGAGATGACAATCACCACAACAGGAATACTGTTCAGAATGAAGCTATTCAACTGAAACAGATAAAAATGAAGAGGATATCAAAGTCAGGCCAAGAGGAAAAAATGAAGGAAAAAACAAGAACGACAAGTAAATTTTATATTGCAGCATTGGTGTCCTTTCTTTCTGCCCGCGGTCCCGCATAAGACAAGGTGAAGCAAACTGTTTTCATTCATGCAGTCTTGTCCATATATATAAATGTGTATGTGTATGGTCTTAGGTTAGGGGCATGAGAGTTAGTAAAATTGATTCAAGCTTTATTCTTGCGCCAATACAATATAATGCAACTTTGTTTTGACATCCACGGAAGGAACAATAACATTTCCTTCCAGAAAAACACAATTCATGCTTCTGGTAACATAACATACCGCTGCTAGTAATTGTGCTTTCCTATACCAAGTCAGCTCGTCATTCCGAACACCCTGAACCTTAGATTGGAAACTATTCTCCCATGCATAAGATCTGAAAAATACATATCACTAGAGTCACAAATCATTAAGCTGGGTAGTATATTTAGGGGTTACAAGCATGCTTCTGCGAATGAACTATACTTTACTGTGTCCATCGCAGCCAATACTTCATTCATGAGACCAATTCTCTTGTCTGTTCGCTGTAATCCTTCTTTTGTCAGTTTCTGCATCTTGCTTATAACATATGTCTGCATAACCCAAATATTTTTTCATTAAGACAATAGCAACAGTAACTTATTTAAGCAAGAGACTCCTGTGACATGAGAATGGAAGATATTAAGAATAGCTGTGCACACTCTAAGCAGACAAAAAAATGAAACAAGTAGAAAAAGAAAACAGTGTCAACACAACCACATGNCCCCCAAAAAAAAAAAAAGAAATAAAGAAAAGGAAATTCTTCACTTCTTGAATACTCCAAAACAAAAAATCCATCAAAACCAAACAGCACCTTTGATTCCAGTCAAAATGGAACATATAATGGTTATTTGTGGCTATCGCTATCCCTCAATAATTTACTTTTTTGGGATTATTGAGGGATAATGATAACCACAAGTAATTACCCTCAACATCAAGTACTCATATGAGAACCTTCTTTTTATACTGCATAGGGTTGCATCAGACCAGTTTTCTGGAGCACATGTGATACTCCAGCTGTTACAAACATGTGTGTGCCTTAAAAGTAACTACCATTACTTAAATGATTTTACTCATGTACTTTAGGAGCACATGTCATACTCCAGTCATGATTTCATAACGACCCATGTTGTTTAAGATTCTCTATCATCTTTATACAACTTGTATTAGCAGTCTTCCATATTATATAATTATATTTATTAACCTCATCAAGAAAAATCTTGTATTTGTTAATTGAATTAAAACCATTTTGGATAATTCTATTAGCATAACCACTAGCTCCAAAAGAACTTGGCGTAAAAGCATTTGCCTTTAATTACAGAAACAACTCCCTTTCTTCTTGTTGCTCGAAAGTGCTCTTCCTCAAGCAAGCAGTAGATTCCATTATCAGGTATATAACAAAAAAGAGGAAATATATTCAAGAAAATTGTATAAAAGTTTTAAAGTGAGAAGAGGAAGAGAAAAGCTTCTTACCTGTACTGGAAACATAAGAACCAACATAAGTGCACCAAGAAGTGCTGCTACCCCCAATTGCTGGTAAAGAAGAACCAATGCAACGGTAATTCGAAGAGGAGCTGACCAAATAGTATGAAGTGACTGACATATTTGCTGGAGAAATAAAAAAAGGCACCAACGTCAACACAGCAAAAATTACATCTAAAAAAGATTTTTTAAACAGGATTTTAATTAATCTAGGCACTGAGAAATTCATAGAATAATGCTTCCGTTTTGTAAAAAGGTCGTTCAATGCCATCTCTGGTACTCTTCGAGATTCAGAAGCTTCCAATTGCAGAGAATTAGTGGTTGATCAAAATGTTAGGTCGTGGGAAGGGGGGGAAGGATTTCAAAGGAAGGAGCAAAACGATATTGTAAGGTCCTCCATGATAACATTCAAGCTATCACAAAGGCGGCCATTAGGCATTTGGTTCGTAGAGGAGTGAACCGTATCAGTGGGCTTATCTATGAGGATACACGTGTGTTTTCTAGAGAATGTGATTCATAATGCTGTTACCTATATCGAGCATGCTCGTAGGAAGATGGTGACTTCTATGGATTGTTGTGTATGCGATCAAGAGACAGTAGGACTTTCTATGGTTTTGGGGGTTAAGGGGATAATTGGTTCCGGCTTTTGTTTCCGCTGCAAAAGTCTTGCTGTCAAGATAAGGACAAGAATGATTACTATGGTTGATAAGGGATATGGGTTTTTCTTTAGCTTTTTTTTTTTTGGTGTGTGGGGGCTCTACTTTGGTGTAATTAGTGTGGTCTCCTATAGAGGACAGAGTTTATACTACTATTGGTTGTTCTGTAAGTTGGAATTGGTGAAAGTTGTTTTAGAATTTCCAATATTTGCTCTATTTCAATGAACATCACTGACTGATTCAGTTTTTCTTCTTCTTTCTGAAAAAAAAAAAAGTCATTCACTGGTGCTACGAAAATGCATCAAATAGTAATAATACTATGTTCTGTAGAATGGTGGGTACCATTTCATCTCAAGATGTTAACTTTTCATGAAGGGAATTTTATAAATTTATATATCCTAATATGGCCCCGACATATGGATCTGATTCTTTTATCTTAAGCACAGTATTTTCACCAATGTATTCGGTCAACCTTTTATGCTCCCGAAGGAGAGTTATCATCAAGTCTGCAATCTAGAAAATTACATACCAGATAGCCCAACCAAAGTAGTCAGTATCTTAAGATACAATTCGATGCAAGTCTTCGGTGCCATATATCTTATGACCTTATGTATTTAGTGCGTAAATTCAATTGTATCTTGTGATACAAATAACTATTCTGCGACCCTTGTATAATACGTTCAGGATTCTGAATTTTGTTGGATAGCATCTGATTCAGGTTGGTTCATGCAGGATATGACGGTGATATTGATAGTGAGATGAAAACAAAATTACTTTAAAGTCTTTAGTTTAATTGTCATTATCCTTTTGTTGCACTGTTGTAACTCGAATTTTCTACATTATCTTATTAAAATTGGGGCTTCTAGCATGTGTTTGGTCTCTCATTAATAAGCAATGATTGTCCATTCCTAAGCATTTTTTCCACGCATCCTTTTTAATGATGTTATGTATCTTATGATACAAGTATGGTTCAGAAATGGGCATATCAATAGGAGGAATCCATTCCTTAAATCAGCAAAATCTCTTCATCAAGCGAAGAAAGTAATGCTATAGAATATTCAACTTGTAGAAGATTGCAGAACTAAATAATATCAGCAGTAATGCAACCGACATGCCTGAAGTGCTTCCGAATCTGTTGTCATCAAATTGGTTATCTTTCCTGATGCAAACTTTTTACGACTTTCATGGGTTAACCTCAAAGACTTCCGGAAAACTGCTGCAACCTACAAAAGCAATTGGGGTTAAAACATAACATAATCGTACCATCAGTGAATCAACAATGATTTATAAAGTTAAATAGTTGATGAGCTTTATATACCAGCAAGGACAGAGACTGATGGAGCTGAACATATACAGAGCCTACAAGAAGCTACGAGCAGCTAAACTAACTCCACAGAATAACTTAAAAACAATAAACACGACAATGCACAAATACAAGTCAAATTACGAAATCACTTTGACTCATATCAATAGTCACTCAAAAGAGAGTTTTAACAGACAACCTAACAAAGTATTTCCAATATGAATCAAATTTAATGGTTAGTGTAATAATTGATCTCCGGCCCTTCTGCAATGCAAGTGTAGAACTAGCAAAATTGAGCATACATAATTTGGTTTTAACGGGTAAAAGAAATTCCCGGCTGCTAACATATACCTATATATATTTTGTGTTAGGTGATCGTAAAATATTCTATCCAGCAGGATGATTATTGTCATGAAAATTAATGCAAAAAAACAAGGACTATGGCCAAAACATAATTACAAGTACAGGAGCCAGCGATTCAAACGACTCCTGATAGCTATTAAAAATAAGACAAACCTGAGATCCAAGTCATGCATGTTAGGATAAAACAGAAAGGGAGAAGAATAAACCTCATAGAGAAATATCAGCTATCAATAGAAATTGTAGTTCATACATAAGCGAACACAGAAAAAGGAAAAAAAGAGGATGAAGAAGGTTGGTGATATATACCCATTGTATTACATAATCCCAACATTACAGAAATTTATGTCACCTCTAAATGTAATCTAGGAGGCTTGGACAAACACTAGAAAGAAGAGAGGACGATAGAATATAGAAAGAATCTGAATTACCAAAGTAGATCTGAGGCGAAATCCAACACGCATGACATTCTGAAAATACTGAGCTTCACACAGAACTCCAAACACCTAGAAGAGAATTTGTGCTTAAATAATGTCAGTTTCACAGTTGCATATCAAACAGAGCCAGCCAGAGGCCAATGGTGGAAGAAAGTTAATTAAAGTTTATTGAAAAGAAAAAACTATAAGGTTCTAATCACACTCTCAGTAGGTGTCACAGGAATAGGCGAAAAGAACACTAATGTTAAATTAGAAAAAGGGAAGAAAAGGCAGATTTTATATATGTCAAAAAGAATATTTCTTTTGTGTGTGTGGGGGGGG